GGGGGGAATTAGGTTCCAAGATGCTCCACTCATGGTTGCAGATTATTTGTTTTAGGTGTTTTGGGGTGCGTGGATCAATGATCACTTTCTGCTAATCCCTTTTCCATGTCTGCTACTTCCTCAGTGCTCTCTTTTCTTTTCAGCCTGTGCTCATAACTGTTTCCAGTGTGCGCCTGAATGGAGCACAGCTTTATACATATATATTTGTTTTGATCCCTCACATTTGCACAAAACTAGAAAACTACACAAGCAAACCACATAACAAATTTCTGCACCAGATATTGCACAGGTATCTAAAAAGTGCATACTGAGAATTGACAATGGCTTTCAATTCTTATACAGTTGGGCTCAGTGCACTCCCTAGTAAAGCTTGGACAGATTTTTAAAATTATCTCATATTTGCACAAAGCCAGAAAACTGCAAAAGTGAGTGGTGAGAATTTACAGTTGTATGACTGTGTGCTTTTGTACACTTCCTGAGAGGGTTGTTCCCTCTCCCAAGGTGTGTGTGCAGTTATTTGTGTGCATGCCCCATCAGGGACCAACACAAAAGGAAACGCCTACTGGTATGAACAGGAAAGACCAAAGTTGCTCCCAGGGCCAGATTTAGGTTTGATGAGGCCCTCAGCTACTGAAGGTAATGGGGCCCATTATATGTCCAGCTGTCCTTTGTCAACAACAAATTGTCACTGTTAGAAAGGAGCAAACCAGTGATAGCTTAGGGAGCCGGGTATCAGGCAGGACCCATTTCTTACTTCATAGGAGCCTACACAACACAAAACACTGTTGCTGTAGGTAGGCGTTATTTGTTTTTAACTTATATTATGGAAATGTATATCCATTTTTTCCCTTTAATTTTTTCGGGGACCCCCAAGAGAGTGGGGCCCTAAGCTATAGCTTGTTTAGCTTATACGTAAATCTGTCACTGGTTGCTCCTCATATGCAAATTCAAATGCATGTGTTTTTGGACTACTCCTGTCTAATTCAAATGGAAGGGAAGTGTATCAACAGCTAAATAAAGCTCTCCTGTGGACACGCCCTGGATTTTCCCAGTTCTGTGATGTGTTAGGGTTCAGGAAAGAGATGCATGCAACCACAGTGTAGTGACACCATCCTATTTGATAGCAGTAGTGTTGCTGCTATGCCATTGATATTATGGGCTATTGCACTAGATCCTTAAAACATTTTAGGCTGTTCTACTGTAACATGTTAAGGGACGTGGGTGGTGCTGCGGGTTAAACCACAGAGCCTAGGACTTGCCAATCAGAAGGTCGGTGGTTTGAATCCCCGTGATGGGGTGAGCTCCCGTTGCTCGGTCCCTGCTCCTGCCAACCTAGCAGTTCGAAAACACATCAAAGTGCAAGTAGGTAAATAGGTACCGCTCTGGCGGGAAGGTAAACGGCATTTCCGTGCGCTGCTCTGGTTTGCCAGAAGCGGCTTAGTCATGCTGGCCACATGACCCAGAAGCTGTACACTGGCTCCCTCGGCCAATAAAGCGAGATGAGTGCCGCAACCATCAGTGTCGGTCAAGACTGGACCTAATGGACCTGTCTTTACCTTACTGTAACATGTTGTACAGTGCCGTGAAGTATAATTTGACAGATCATTCAACTTGACAGTGAAATTGTAACTACAATGGCTGAATGGAGGTTATCCAGATCTACTGACCATCTGAATTCAGAATGGACACTATAGATCACAATGCTATGTACACTTAACATTGAACTCAGTGGAACTTATTTTCCTGAGTAAACATGTATAGCTGGAACCTGTGGCTTTCAGATGTTTTTGGACTCCAACTCCATCAGTCCAAGCCAGCACAGACAATCGTCAGGGATGATGGGAGTTGCAGTCCAGTAGCACCTGAAGGATCACAGGTTTCACATCCCTGGATCATAGGATTGGGCCAGAAGTTGGTCAATGTTTGTTACCTCTTACAAAAGTACTCCCACTTATATAGAAATTGGATTAACAAACCGTTCAGAGGCATCTGCCCCAGGCTGTTCCTATAATGGTGCTCTGCAGCACTCAAGTTCAAAAGAAGTTTGCTCAGCGAACAACTATTAAACAAGCATTCCCCGATGTGTTTTAAATTTACCTATATGCTCAGGATCATTTAACAGAGATTATACCTTAATTGTTAAGATGCCCAGAGTATGTACTTTTGTTGTGAAGTACATCTAAACCATGTACACCACTCTGAGCCCTTGGAGGAAAAGGTGATATACACTTCAGGTTACATACGCTTCAGGTTACAGACTCTGCTAACCCAGAAATAGTACCTCGGGTTAAGAACTTTGCTTCAGGATGAGAACAGAAATCTTGCTCCGGCGGCGCAGCAGCAGCAGGAGGCCCCATTAGCTAAAGTGGTGCTTCAGGTTAAGAACAGTTTCAGGTTAAGAACGGACCTCCGGAATGAATTAAGTACTTAACCAGAGGTACCACTGTATAAATGTAATAAATAATAATAATAAATAATGAACAGCAAACTTGGGTGCTAACTTATGACAGGTATGTAACTAAAATGAGGTTACTGAAAAACAACAGGGAGGTATCAGCATCTTTAGGGGAATCCCAAGTTTTTCAGATGAAGGGAAAATATATATTTAGGGGGAAATATCCTAAGGAGGCAACTCCCTAAAACATCAACAACGAAGCAAACAACAAGGATCAACTATATTCAGTCGCCACAGAAGGCCAACTCTTGGTTGAAAAAGAGAAATGGAAACTGCATCAGGGAGGGAAATGGAATACCCCCCAAAAAGTCATGGCTGGCTGGAATACTGAACAGGAGCACCACACTTCACAACTTTACATTGCATGTCTCACTTGGTTCTGCTTAACCCAACATTTGTCAAAAGAATCCAAGCAGTTCAGCAAATGGAAAAACCAGCCCTGGAAACTGACCAGTGGTTGACTTTTGGACCATAGTCTTATTTTCTGCCTGCCCCCATAGCCCAAAGATTGGGAGTAGTATTAGTACCATACTGACAACTGTGGTCAGGTAACAGACTAAATTCTGGGAGAAGGTGGAGTTCACAAGTATTACGTTTTTGTCCTGGTCTGGGTCTTCCATGCAACTATCACCTGATCCTGCCTCTAAAGTCAAAATCTGGCCACCTCTATTGTGATGTCAGCAACATAGAGGTCACAGGGGGAAGCAACTGGTTTACATAGTCTACAGCACTGCGTTTTATACCACTTTAACCAGGCATAGGCAAACTTGGCCCTCCAGATGTTTTGGGACTACAACTCCCATCATCACTGACCACTGGTCCTGTTAGCTAGGGATGATGGGAGTTGTAGTCCCAAAACATCCGGAGGGCCAAGTTTGCCTATGCCTGACTTTAACAGCCATGGAGAATCCTTGGGAACTGTAGTTTGTTAAGGCTCCCTGGAATTCTGTGTCTAGGAGGCAGAAGGGCAACAAAGTTTGCACAGCAAAGTAGATGGAGTATTTTTCTTAGCGCCGAGTTTAAATCCTGTTCCTCCATGGACACCTTAGTGTCTTGAGCAACCACTTCTTTATAGTCTGATCTGTAAAATGCTTGGGCTGTTGTGAGGACAAATGCAATAAGGGTAGCAAAGCAATTGGTGTATTCAAATAATAATGATGATGATTATTATCAAGAGCTTTTAATCCTGGCTAAAACCATTTAATTTGCGTCTGTTGAATACAGTGTTCTTACAGTTCATCTGGCAGGATTAGCAATTCATGTGACTTGCTGCCTATTTCACAGGTATCAAAGTGCTTACGAAAATACTGCTTTTGCAAACTACAAGGGTGGCCAAAATCGTAAAGGAATTGGGGCATCTATCTTTCTTTCAAAATGAATACCCTGTATTTCCATGGTAAATCATAATCATGCTAATTTATAAATGCCACAACAAATTAAACAACAAGGCAAATAAATAGCCGCATTAAAAAAAAAAAGAACGCCAGAAAAACATTATCAGCAGACAGCGTACCAAAAAAAGATATTGTCACAGAATTTGTCATAGAGGAAAATCTTACAAACATGGGTCTTTTCAGTTTGAAAGGGGGGGGGGAGAGAAAGACTAGTGATGAGACATAGTACAGATTTATGAAATTATGCCCTACTTGGAGAAGGGACTTGTAGGCATAAGTATTTGAGAGCCAGTATGTGGCCTATGTTAGCACTTGTTGGAGGGAAACTTGGTTTCAAATCCTCCTCTCAGCTGCAACGTTCACTAGGTGACCCTGCACAAGAGGCCACTTCTCAGCCTAACGTGCATTGAAGGTTTCTTGTCACGATAAAATGGGGTGAACAGAAGAAGAGAAGTGGAATTTTTTCAAAACGTGCTAAAAATATGTAGATCATATCTAGGTTAGCCCACATCACACCCTCTGCTTTGGGACTGCAAGCTGGTCTCCTGTGCCCAAACCTGCGGGCATCTCCAGGTTGTATGCAGGAATGGTTATTATTAATATTTATTTCAATATCTTTTTTGCTGCCTCTCCCCTCAAAACAACAACAACACCACACAAGATATGGCAATAAAGGGCTACTGAAAGGAGAGAGAAGGGAAACGGGTATTGGAGACAAAATATCAAGGTGCAACAAAGATGCAAAAATCAAAGCATCTGAAGGAAAGGCACTCTGCACGTGCTCAGACAACCCCCTCCATGCAAAGTATTGCAAGCTCCAGCTTGGCAAAGCGCGAATGGTATACGGGAAAACTGTATGCAACGTGTTTGTCTGTTTTCTGGCTTGCTTTTCAGCTGCTCCCTGAGGAGGAGACTGACACTTTTGTTTGTATGTGCGATACAGGGGGGGGGGGGGGAGGGTCCGGAAAGGGCCAAACGGGGGAGAGAAAGAAAATGCAAGCCGCGGCGTTCGTTGGCAACGGCCTGCGCTGTTATGACGTCGGTGACGTCGGGAGCCGAGTGTGACGCGGCCCATTGTGTGACGTCAGGGAGCTCCCCCGCTCCGCGCCGGTGGGGAGGCACCGCGCCCGCCCCCGCGCCTCCATCGCCTCGCGGACACCGGCGAGGGCGGTCGCGCCTCCGGGCAGGAGCCTGGAAGACCCTCGGGCGGGCGGGTAGGCGGGCTATGCCGCGCTGGGAGCTGCTGAGACCATCGCAGTAAGGAACAGGCGCGAAGAGTAGGCGGAGGAGGCAGGACCAACAGCAGCAGCACCATGGAGAATAAATATCCTTCCTTCAGGGGCGCGGGAAGGGAGCCACTTGGCCCACTCCGTCGTGGAATCAGGGGGCGAGAAGCCCCCATGGAGAGATGAGGGAAGAGGTTCTCCTTGGGGTCCTCAGCAGACGCCCCCAGCATAGGAACCAACTCCTAGGGTCTGAGGTTCCTTTGACACCCCCCCCCCCAAATCTTTGACGGAGCATTATTCAAATAGTGTGCATCTGCTGCTTCATGTGGTCAACTATGCAGGCTAGGGTTTACCTCACCCCCCCCAATATTTTACTCAAGTTGGCACCCTGCTCCCCAGACATAAACAGAGAATAAATTCAGTAAGCCAGCAACTTTATGCACATTCAACTTGGGTGCGTTCAGCTTTAGGCGCGGAGTAGAATTTTTTTTAAGACTTTGGTGATGCCACCCGCCATTGCACCCAGCATGTCTTTGACGAGACATGATTTTGGCTTTTGGCGCGATCCCTGGGGGTAAGTTGCAGGCTTACTGTAGATCATCATGAGCTTTGCACCTTGCTTTGCATCATCATGAGCTTTGCACCTCTCTTGGAGCACCTGGGAAACATGTCAATCAATGCATTTTTTTTTCCTTTAAAAAAGAACAAGCATAAATGAACAATTTATGGGAGAACACAAGTAGGATTAGCTGTCCATACACCCTTGCCATGAGACCTTGAGGCAAGCACCCCCAAATTCGGCCCTCCAGATGTTTTGGGACTACAACTCCCATCATCCCTAGCTAACAGGACCAGTGGTCAGGGAGGATGGGAATTGTAGTCCCAAAACATCAGGAGGGCCAAGTTTGGGGGTGCCTGCCTGAGGGATGCTGCTCCCTGCTTCCTCAGTAAAGCCCACTCCCTGCTTCCTTCAAACAGATAATGTGCCCCTTCCCCAGAACTTAACCTGTTACAAGCTACCTCCTCCCACACATGGCATTTAATAAGTTGCCTGGTCAGCAGAATGATAATATAGTATATTAATGTTGAAGACTATGACGGGTAATCCAAAGGAGGACGTCTCCAGTGGGAGAGATTCCACAAGCATGCAGTGGAATCCTAGTAGCAGTTCCCTTTAACCTGGTAAATTTTTAGGATCCACGTTTTTTCTGTGATTGTAAAATGTACCATATTTTTTGCTCTAGAAGACTCACTTTTTCCCTCCTAAAAAGTAAGGGGAAATGTGTGTGCGTCTTATGGAGCGAATGCAGGCTGGGCAGCTATCCCAGAAGCCAGAACAGCAAGAGGGATTGCTGCTTTCACTGTGCAGCGCTCCCTCTTGCTGTTCTGGCTTCTGAGATTCAGAATTTTTTTTTCTTGTTCTCCTCCTCCAAAAACTAGGTGCGTCTTGTGGTCTGGTGCATCTTATAGAGCGAAAAATATGGTAAATTGTTTTATACCATTTTTAAACTTGGCATTTGAATTAAGCCACCTTGAGTCCTAGACTGGGAATAAGGTGGAGTAATAATAATAATAATAATAAGAAGAAGAAGAAGAAGAAGAAGAAGAAGAAGAAGAAGAAGAAGAAGCCACCTACGACTTTAGGGTGAAGGGCAGGTAAATAACCCAATCTCTTTATAAATTTCCAATCACCTGCAGGTAAGTGACTCACAAACATCCTCCTCCCACGTTTTCTTTAAACAAAGGGAGAACCAAAGCTGAGAGTTCCTTCTCCACAGTTACATTACTAAGATGCCCAGATGCAAGTACACAGTAAGCACTTGAGCCCAGTTCCCTTTCGGGGGACAATGCCAGCCGCAAAGCGAAGTGACTCTCCAAAATGACCTCCCCTCCTTCGCCAGCTTTCCCTTATTACCAGCTTTCTATTGTACAGTTCTTTTCTTTCATACACTGAAGTCTCATCTACTTGTACAGAAATGTGTTGTTTCTAGTCTACGGAAAGGTTCCCTGTTTCAACGCACGTGCAACACTATGTTTATAGAAGGGGAGAATTTGTCACCTCTCCCATGAAAGGAACAATGTCCTCTTGCAGGGATCATTTGCCTGGAATGCTGCCATTCCACAGACATCTTTAGAACCTGATCCACAACAATGTTTAAATAAAATACTTGGATCTAATTAATTCTGCCCCCAGCTCCTGCTTCACAAGTGGGAAATGGACTGGGCCATTTGCAAAAAAAAGAAGGGGGAAAAAGTGTATAGTGGCTCCTTGCCAACATCACTCACTTTTTTTTGAACTGGAAAAAAAGAGAGAATGCCAAAATTAGCTGGAAAATTCCTTAACTTGCTTTTCTCTACATGGTTCATGGACCTCATCTTTGATGAATTTAGAGATGGCAAGATCAATCTAGATAAGACCTTGAAACTGCTAAATAAGTTTGACGTCAGTTACGACTACGTTCATGTGAAAAAGGTGTTTAAGGTGAGAAAATCATGTTTGTATTAAGAATATATAGTAGTATCGGTGGTCAGTGGACCATAGCTGTCTAAGTAAACTTACTACATGCCAACAGGACTTCCAGACTAAAGTTCTTTAAGAGCAGAAAATGTATTGCTTCTAGGCAAGTTGCGTTATTACTGTGTAATTAAGGACCTATCTTTTCACCCATGAGCAAGCGCCCTTGGTTTTTCTTTCTTTCTTGGGTAGTGTTTCCTTTTCAGAAACCAATTATTGATCATTTGGGATGGGTTGGTAACATCTATCTCACCTGTTGAACCTCGTATAGTTACATGAGAGGTTTGATTCTTCTGTACACTTGCCTTCTAGTGCCCTTAATGGTCTTAGAAACAGAGATGTTTGGAAGCTTAAAAAACACACTCAATACTGTTTCCCTTCTGATTATGGCTGTTCTTATATTCCAGTGGAGTCTTATATTCCAATGGCTGTGACAGGACGGTGGGGAGGTGAAAGGAGAGAGGCTTGATCGGATGATGAGCCCTCTAACATGAGTTTGAAGTGGATGAATTGGCTGGGCTCCTCTCTCTCCCCTTTAATTATTCTGATTAAGCCAGTAATTGGCATATAGGATGGGAGATGAAGACGTCAAACTGAAGACTTATGCTTATAGATCTGCTTTTCAGCTATGTGAACGTAACTAAATTAGGTCCCAGATTTTAATTTAAGGTACAGCATGTAACCTACGATGGGACACGGGTGGCGCTGTGGGTAAAAGCCTCAGTGCCTAGGGCTTGCCGATCGAAAGGTCGGCGGTTCGAATCCCTGTGGCGGGGTGCGCTCCCATTGCTCGGTCCCAGCGCCTGCCAACCTAGCAGTTCAAAAGCACCCCCGGTTGCAAGTAGATAAATAGGGACCGCTTACTGGCGGGAAGGTAAATGGCGTTTCTGTGTGTGGCTCTGGCTCGCCAGATGCAGCTTTGTCACGCTGGCCACGTGACCCGGAAAGTGTCTCCGGACAGCGCTGGCCCCCGGCCTCTTGAGTGAGATGGGCGCACAACCCTAGAGTCTGTCAAGACTGGCCCGTACAGGCAGGGGTACCTTTACCTTTATGTAACCTACGGGTACCTACGGGACCGCCTCTCCTGGTATGCCCCGCAAGGGACCTTAAGGTCCACAAATGACAACACTTTAGAGGTCCCAAGTCTCAAGGTGGTTAGATTGGTCTCAACTAGGGCCCAGGGCCTTTTCAGCACTGGCCCCAACTTGGTGGAACACTCTGTCACAAGAGACTTGGGCCCTGCAGGACTTGACATCTTTCCGCAGGACAGAGCTGCAAGACAGAACTGTTCTACCTGGCCTTTGGTTTGGACTCAGTCTGACCCTTATGTTTCCCTCCCCTTATGGTTTTGATCTATAGGCTACTATTAAAATGAGGCTGCATTTTAAATTGTATTTTAACCCATAATTTAAATTGGGTTTTTTTTCTTTCTTTTCTCCCCCCCCCATTATGTTTTTATTGTAATTTTACTGGTGTTAGCTGCCCTGAGCCCAGCTCTGGCCAGGGAGGGCAGGATATAAATAAATTATTATTATTATTATTATTATTATTATTATTATTATTATTACCTAACAGTGCCGGTTCCTTTTTCACTTCACTCCCCTACTGGCTTGCCCTCACAATCACAAAGGCTCACAGACTGACTCTAGTGAATTAATTTTATAATGAAATGATTTTAGAATGTTTTACTATTTTATTGTTGTTAGCCGCCCTGAGCCCAGCTTCGGCTGGGGAGGGTGGGATATAAATAAAAATTATTATTATTATTATTATTATTATTAGTAGTAGTAGTAGTAGTAGTAGTGAGTGTTTCTTAGAAATGCTTTGAAGTATGTCAAAGTGCTCATCGTTCTGGTGTGAATGCTGGCACATAGTGCTTTATTTATACTTATTGCCAACTCTCTCTTTTTTTTTACATAGAAAAATGACAAACAGAAGTCTGGACTTATTACCATGGAAGATTTTAGGGCAATTTATCGAACGCTTCTGCACCGACCGGAACTTCACGAACTCTTCAGCAGCTACTCGCCAAACAAAAAAGTTCTAACAGTATCAAATCTGTGTGACTTTCTTAGAAAGGAACAGTTTGAACTTGATGTTAATGAAGCAAGAGCTGTGTCACTCATTAATAAGTTTGAACCCATTGATGAAGGTACACTAAAGTTTTAACGTTACAGTTTAATTAGTTTGAAAACATAGCCTTTAGTGTGTTGATAATGATATTGAACATATAAGTAATAATGAGTATGTAGATAGTCGCAATGTAGCCTTTATTTTTCCAAGAGAAAATGTTGTTTTTACGCAGAAAGCTCGTCAGTTTTCTAAATTTATTGTCTGCCCTGGACATTCAGCCAGCTCCAACGATAGCGAGGAGGTTAAATGCATTCCATCTAGTGCCTGAGATTGTGAGTCCTCCACCGTTATGAGCACATCTAATGAAGACCACTGCTGACATCTATTTCTGCAGCCACTATCTTTTGATGGAGAAAGGGGGAGCAGTGGTGGATAAGGCTTGCCCTCCACATCCAGTGATAAGTGCTACCCATGCTTATTGCATCATTCAGGATTCCACAAGAACAGAGCTTCTCAGGCCCTTAGCCAGCCTAAAAGTTTTGGTGGGGACATCAGAAAAGTAGACGGTGGCCAGTTTATCTGGTCTGCAGGCCTTTTTACAATCAAACTAAAAACTCTTTTTATTTAACCCTGATTTTTGCAGCTGTGCTGCAACTTACATACATTTTTAAAAATTCCTAAGCAAACAACAATTGTTGCTTTTCTTGCCACCAGTTCGCAAAAAAGGTAAATAAATAAATAATTCAAGAACAACAACCCATTACTATTAGGAATAAGCTACAATGGGAGTGTTCTTATAGTTTATAACAAAAGCTTTCTTGTCTTCGAAGCTGCAAAGGTGGAACAGGTTCATCCAAAACCAATTCTTTCGTCATGTCCATGTTATAACCCAAAAGAACACGATCGGCTTTATGTTCACAATTGCTGCGGACCTAAAACTGATGTTAATGAGATGCATTGCAGTTCTGCTTGAAATTATTGGTGCTGCTTCACCCAAAAGGCCAGCTCTGGGAAATGCAGGCCCATAATTTTTGAGCCCCTCTGCAAACTGTGCTAATGATGGTCATTCTTTAATAAGGAATTTTGCTGACTCAGGTTCCAATTTTAAGTTTTCTAGCTTTTTACAGTTGTCCACGTGATGTTTTAATATTTTAGATAGTGGATTCTAATTGTCCTCATTTCCAGGCTGGGACAAACTCTTGTGAGCTATAGCTATAATTAACCAGTGTACTGTAGCTGTTAGAGTGTTGGGCTAAGACCCAAGAGACCATGGTTCAAATCGTCCAGTTCTTGCCTCTCAGCATAACCCACCTCACAGGGTTGTTGTGGGGATGAAATGAGGCAGGTGAGAACGATGCTTACCACCTTGAGCTCCTTGGAGAAAATCTGGGATGTAAATGTAATAGCTAGCTAGCCTCTCTCCTTGAATATACTTTCTAATTCACGAGTGCTATGGCAAAAGTGCCACCACGTTGCCTGTAATAGGAGTTACTGTTTCAGATTTATTTCCAGCAAAGCAACTTACAAATGCTTGCTTTGAGGTCACGATGAGAATAGGTAAAGGTAAAAGGTAAAGGACCCCTGGACGGTTAAGTCCAGTCAAAGGCGACTATGGGGTTGCAGCGTTCATCTCGCTTTCAGGCCGAGGGAGCCAGCATTTGTCCACAGACAGTTTTCCAGGTCATGTGGCCAGCATGCTTCTGGCGCAATGGAACACCATGACAGAAACCAGAGTGCACAGAAACACTGTTTACCTTCCTGCCGCAGTGGTACCTATTTATCTACTTGCACTGGTGTGCTTTTGAACTGCTAGGTTAGCAGGAGCTGGGACAGAGCAACAGGAGCTCACCCCGTCACGCAGATTCGAACTGTTGACCTTCTGATCAGCAAGCCCAAGAGGCTCAGTGGTTTAGACCAGGGGATTTGCATTTCCCCCAGTCAAGGGAAAGCATAACTTAATTTCACTACACCTCTCAGAAGAGCACATACACCAGCCAACTTGTAAACCAACCAACCAACCAGGAGACCATTTGCTTAGAATGCAACCCCTTTAATCTTGCCGCTTCCATTACCAGTAATTGACTCCTTCTTGGCCTAGCAAACAGAGACACCTGAATCCCACCTCCCTGCTTTAGCCTTTGCTCTTGATTGGATATCCTAGCCAGAGAGCAGGGAGAGAACAGCAACTCCTGTTTAGAGGCAATGTGGTGGCACCTTTAACCCCAGCACTATCTCATTTGTCAGATTGGAAAATTCCGCCTACCTTCTGAGTTTGCGGTTGGTGAATTTAGATACCTCAGAACAAACTGACCTGTCAAGCTTCTTTTCCTCCTTTTAAAAAGTCTCCCTCCTGGATCTCGTAACATGATTTTTTGTGGTAAGCGGGATTTCACTGCAGCAGCCCCCCCCCCAAATAATGGCACCTGTACCTTTAAGAAGAAAAGCAGAAGCGTTCCTGTTGGTTTTCTAAAATTCCTGTATAATAAAATAAAATAAAAATAAAAATAAGGAGGGCTGAGGAATTTTAGGGAAATCCAGCTCCCCCCCCCACCTGGCTAACAGGCATGGAGTCTTCTGCTGTGGTGTTGTTTCTCTGAGTGTGGCAATTAAGTGTAAAAGCTTCAAAACTGCACCTACTGTGTTTTCTTACGCATGTCTGTATGAACGCAGATTGTGTTAATTCATCAGATTGTAGTGGCAATTTATCACATTCTTCATTGTTGCTTTCTGGAAGAAAGAAAAGCGCAGCCTAAAAAACAAGGGAAAAATGTACATTTATATTTCTTTATTGAAACATAAGCAAAAGATTATTGCCGTTTGTATAACATGAGATCAACTTGTACAACAGTCTAAGCATTCTCCTATTTTCTTAGACTATGTGAATAATTGTTTGTATTGCTTTTGCTTTATTATTGTTTGTAGTCCTTTTTGCATTATTCTTATATTCTTTGCATATTCTTAAAATAGAAACATTGTTTATAATTTGAATAAACCAGGACTAATTTGTATGCATCATGTGAGTAAATGTTCCGTTCAGATACTAAGCGAGACCATGCATGTGTTGTTTCAATTAATGATAAATGATGAAGGTATCCTTATTTGGACTGTTCTTTCTACATTAGCCTGCTGACTGATAATTTTACCTTTTAGAAACTGTTTAGATTGTAACAAATGCAACTTGATAAAACACTGGGAACAAAAGCACAAAACAGCTAAATGTTGGTTGATGGGATTTAGCTAAATAGTCTACTAATCTTGTATGAAATACATTTGATGTCTTGCCTTGTATAATGAGTGCATTAAACAATTTCTCTGTTACAATTCTCAGCTTTTAAAATATTAGTTTATAGTGTTCTAGTTACAGCATAACTTTATTGTGTGATTTTTAAAAAGCAACACTGCCCACAAATAAACACATTTTTAACACTCCGAATTTCTTACCTCTTCATTGTTGAAGACCTCATTAATTGGGATGGCATTTGTGCATTTACAGCACTTTGAGGAATATTGGGCGAGTTTGTTTTTGCAAAACAGCACAAACAGATATTGCACCGAATATTGCTTACCTGAGTTGCTAAACTGGTAACAGTTATATTAGAGGAGATTTCTTCTGTTCTTCAACTCATTTTAAAGACAGGAAATGCATTTTTCTAGCATTCTCTTTTTTATATCAACATCAGTAACATTCTACAAATCCTTTGTGGTGTAACATACGCACAACTCCACAGTCATCCAATAATGTTTCCACTTGAAACTATTCAGTACTACTAGCAACATGATCATGGAGGGATATTTGAAGCCTCTGCACACATTCCAACTAGTCAATATCCTTCTTAAACTGTGGTACCCAGAACTGGACGCATTAGTGTAGGTCTTATTTAATGGAACTTTCTCCTGGATGAGTGTACATAGGTTTGCTGCCTAAGATATTCGTTCTCTGTAGCAGGCGTGGGGAACTTGTGTCCCTCCAAATCTTGCTGTGCTGCAGCTCCCATCATCCTTGGCTGTGCTGGTTGGGGGTTGATGGGAGCTGAATTCCAACAACATCTGGAGGGCCAGAGGTTTCTTTCCCCTACTCTATAATGATATCTAATTGGCTTGCAGTATTCCTATGCACATTGACTTAGGAGGAAGACCCACTGAACACACTGGGACTTAATTCAGACCACACATACCTAGGATTGGACTGTAGGGCAGCTAATTTGCATGGGATTGCAGTCCCAGGCCTTAAAACCTTGTTTTGATGTTTGCTTGAAAGATTTTAAGTAGAAAAGATCGTTTCAGAACTACATAGTATCCCAGGTGCCAAATTCCCTATTCATGTGATATTAGTACACTGCGCAGAACTTGAAAATCATCTTTTTTGGTTTTCTGGGGCAGTTTTTGTTTTGTTTTGTTTTTTGCGTGAATGCTACTCCAGGTTCAGAGATTAGAATCATGATTACCTTGGGGATTAGGAAGTAGCTACTTTCCGCCTTGTGCTGACAAGACACATATTTTTCCTTCTGTCTCAAAAGCAGTTTTGATAACAGCAGCGCACCAAAGGCTAGAACGGTCTCTACCGTGAGAAAGAGCCCTGTGGAATACATAGGTTGCTGACCTCCGATGTTCAAAAACTCTAATGAGTTTAACTTGAACTGTCTTTTCCCCACCCTTCAACAGGATGACTTGAGGGATCTAAATTGTTATTGTTCGGTACCCTTTGGTACTCTGCAGTTGTGCTTTCAAGCTTTGTCAGTGCGAAAGGTGATAAAATATCAAAGTGCTCTAAAATTTATTTTTATTCATTCCCCCCCCCATCTAGTTTGATCAGTGTGCTGACAATGAGACAGCCTTACCTAACCTGGCTGGTGCTCTCTAGGTGTTTTGGATTTCAGATCCCATCAGCTTTAGGCCCCATGCCGGCTGCGACTGGTAGGCATCCCAGTCCAAAACATCTGGTAGGCACACTGCTTTAAGAGGACAGGCCCTCATCCTGATGAGCTTCCAGTCTAAAATTCAGCAAAGAGGAAGAAGGGGAGGAAGAGGCAAGGATGCAGAAGGAAAATATATATGCAATTGTTTCAATTGCATGAACTC